ATCTCTTGACCTCGTGATCCACCCGCCTCGGCCTCCCACAGTGCTGGGATTACAGGCTTGAGCCACCGCGCCCGGCCTTCTCTTTCCTTTTAACAAGAGAAAAACAAAATATGTTTCTTGGAATAAAGTCATAACTGTTCAAAGTAAATAAAATACTGCTACTAAGTACCTGAAAATCTGCTGTATTTTCATTTAAATTCATTGTTTCTTCTGCCTGCAAGAATCTGGGGACAGTAAAAGCAGCTGAACTTTCATTTCCTTGGTGTTTTAACAGACTAAACCTTAGGGAATTCAGTGATCGCAAGTTCAGTCCTTTGCCTTTTGGCTAAAGAAGAAAAGATGAAAAATTTCCAAGAGGAAAATGTTATCTGTAATTATATTATAAGGAATTAAAAATTCTATAGATGACTGTATACAATTCAAGGACACTACCATCAGTAAAGCTTTAAATTTGAAAAGAAAAAGGCAACTTTTCCTAATGATATAAAAAAGCACTATACCTTAGACAATATCACACTCTGATATATTTTCTCAAGCCTCTGGGCTGAATCAAGTAGAAGTGATCTCATGTGCACTGATGGAGACAGGTTATCAAGAAATCGAAGGGTTGTGACCATATATCCATCAGATATAACGAGGTAGGGTAACCGTGAGTGTGCTTTTATAGAAAATCTCTGTCTCATAGGGTCAGTATCAGAAGCTGATGAATCTATAGAATTATTTGAATCTTGAAATGTAAACTGCTGTGGTCTAGTAAACAAACACCAAAATACAAGAATCAATAAGAGAGATCTTAAGAAAATAATGTTTTTCAAAAAAAAAGAAAAAAGTTACAGAACAATGAAAAAACAAGCAGATGAAACACACAAAAATATTAAATATGTATATATCTTTCAGGTAAAATAATAGGGATTAAGATAAAATAATATATAGGCTCATATGTTTTAAAATTTTCCTAAATGGTAGCATTTGCTCTATTTTGTTTTTACTCTATATATAACCTATTTCAGAAAATAATTAAGGCAGTTTATTTTTACTATTAAAGAAAATTAAATAGTTAACTTTCCTCTTACTATATATTTAAATATGCTTATACAAATACAATTATGAGCTATCAGTATACTTTTTATTAAAGCGGAGAAAAAAAAAGTTGAGAAGATTTGGAGAAAATGGTGGGGAGTAAAATTTTACCTGTTTAAATTTGATTTTCCACTTAAACATACATATTTACTGTTATTATGATGTACCTGATTCTTATTACTTAATAGCACTCCTTACTAAAGTTAGGTCTTTACAAATATAAAAGAAACAAATCATCAAAGTATAATTTTTTTTTCTAGTTAGGCAACTATTCAAATATAGACTTTTTATTAGCCAAATGACAATAGAAAATTGGTAATTACAGAGCATACACACCACAAACATCTGTAGAATCATTAAAAATGATGCCTAACATGGAAAGATGTAAAAGATATGCTGTTAAAGCAAAAATGAAAAATAGTAAACAGGATATATCACATAATTTATCCAGTTTTTTAAAAAGAAACTAATATTGCTATTATCGTTATGTGAATATTTTTAAAATTTGGGGGACAACATACTAAAATGTTAACAATTGTTATCTCTGAAGTATAAGATTACAAGTATTTAATTTTCTACATCATTTTGTTTTGTAACATTTGACTGAGTTTTAAAATAAATAATGAATACTATACTTTCATAATCAGAAAACAGGCACCAAATATTAATTTTAAACAATGAGAAAATTCTAGTCAATTATGAATTAGACCATAACAAGGAAAAATACTTTCACTGCAGAAAGTGACACATTTTTTCATTAGCATTACCTATTGCTAAAAATTGTGTCTTTTTTTGCTAAATATAATCAAGGAAACACCCTATCTCAGTTTCCTTTCTATAAAGCAAAAAGATTAGATTAATTTCAAAGGTCTTTTCCAATTTGTGTGTCTTGTAAATAGTTATGCATATGTGTCTAGCAACATATAATCAACATCAATAACAAATATTTACTGAGCACTAACTTTATGCCAGACTGTGCTGATTTATAATTATATATTATCTTACTTCATTCTCTCAACCCTAAGAGACAATTATTGTCACCCTCATTGTATAGTAAAAGAAACTGAGACTTAAATAATAACTCTTCTACAGGACTGGAGATCAAAAGAAATTTTTAAAAATAAAAAAATTGGCCGGGCACAGTGGCTTATACCTATAATTCCAGCACTTTCGGAGGCCAAGGTGGGTGGATCACCTAAAGCCAGGAATTCAAGACAGCCTGACCAACATGGTGAAACCCCATCTCTATTAAAAATACAAAATTAGCCTGGCATGGTGGTGCCTGCCTGTAATCCCAGCTACTTGGGAGGCTGAGGCAGGAGAATCACTTGAACCTGGGAGGTGGAGGTTGCAGTGAGCTGAGATCGCACCATTGCACTCTAACCTGGGCAACAAGAGAGAAACTTTACCTCAAAAAAAAAAAAAAAAAAAAAAAAATAAGAATAAGAATAAAAAGTGGGGGAAAAAAAAAAAAAAAAAAAAAAACTAACCCAAAGTCATACAACTAGTAAGTAAAAGAACCACTACGTGAATCTTGATCTGACTTCAAAGCCAAATTGCTACTTCATCTCACAAGTAAAAATTATATGACACATGCTATGCATGTAACGAAGTATGACATATATCCAATAAATATGTAAAATATTATGTATAAATAAAAAAATAATTTTTAAAACGACAAAAATTAAAATACGGCTAAATCCTAGAGTTTTCTATCCATTTCTGGTAACATTTTCCCTTTGGGAAAAAAGTAGATAAATCCATTGATTAAGTTAATTTTGAGTTATTAATTTTCTAAGTGCTCTTCTTTTTTAATAATATCATACTTTTATTAATTTTTATATCAAATAAGATAACTTTTAGTGTTATTAAATATTTAAATAACTTATACTTACATAGTCACAATGTCAAATTTTCACCAGGATTAAGCCACAGAAAGAAACAGAAGAAAACTATAAATAAGAAACAGATATTGAGATGACAGACTCAAAGAAAGAGTAAGACAATTTGAAAGATGAAAATTTTTTAAATACACAGTAAAAGTAATATGAAAGAGAAAAAAATTCTATGAACAAATTAACATAACTCAAATGTCTCACCTATATGTTATTAGTGGATGAAGAGGAATAAATTCTGCTGGCCCAAATTCTATAGAGCAACCAAATGTAATCAATGTTAGCAATTCACCTTGGCAGGTCAATAAAACCAGAGAGCCACGTTTTAACATACAAGCCAGAAAAAGACTATCATGCGTCCAGCTGATATCACCTACCCAGTAGGACCTATAATAAATAAGAGACAACATGTTTAAAAAGACACTTTACAATGTCTATGACCATTTAAAATGGACTGTACCAAGCAGAGGTGTGACAGTTCAAAACATGAGGGCAAAAGAATGACTAGTAGTAGGCAATTGCCATATACATTTCATGAATTTTACTTCTTAGAACAAAGAAGTTTGTTCACAAACATCTATTTTAACAATATTCCAATTAGAAATTCATAAGCAATTAAAAAATGAAAATATTCAGTCAGGCATGGTGGCTCAAGCCTATAATCCCAGCACTTTGAGAGGCCGAGGCAGACGGTTCATCTGAGGTCAGGAGTTCAGGAGCCTGGCTAACATGGTGAAACCCCATCTCTACAAAAATACAAAACTTAGCTGGGCATGGTGTCAGGTGCCTGTAATCCCAGCTACTGGGGAGGCTGAGGCAGGAGAATGGCTTGAACCAGGGAGGCAAAGGTTGCAGAGAGCCAAGAGCCCACCACTGAGCTCCAGCCTGGGCCACAGGGGGAGACTCCATCTCCATAATATCTCAAAAATACATATATATGAAAATATTCCTAAAAAACTGAGCTTTTTAGTCACTCACATATTAGAATGAATTTTAATTCTATTAGAGTCCACAACCAAGATCTACTGATAGATTTCAAGACCACATCTGTCCTCTCTGAAGGCTATGAGTCCCTCTCAACAGGAGACTCCCTTTTCCCACAGCTCTAATTGTTACTACTCCTTAACTATTTGGTGACTTTTTTAAATTTTATTTTTATTTTTTAAAATTTTAGATTTTAATTCCTTTATTACCTTCTTTTCGCAGGTATTGATATCTGGTGATATTAATGTTTAATAAGAACAAACAGTAAGGTCATCCTCAGAAAATGACAGACATTCTAAATCAAAGAGACCATTGAACTGAGACTAATACTTTCAAAGTATTATGAATAATATGAATTAGAAATTTATTAGGAGAAAGGAACTTGTGGAGAGTAAAAGAAAATAAAGAGGCAGGGCTAGATAAACCTGAAAACTCTGGAAATTCATAGAATAGCATGGAAAAGTATTCAGAAAAGGAAGTTAGAAGCTCTAAGAGGAAATCTTCCTACTTAGATCCTGGTGGTAGCTCATGTGCCATCCCAAATTTCCCCTATGTTTCTACTGATTTATATGTAGAGGATGCCAATTTTGTTTAAAAGACTAGGCTCGGCTAGGCTCGGTGCCTCATGCCTGTAATCTCAGCACTTTGGGAGGCCAAGGCAGGCAGATCACAAGGTCAGGAATTCAAGACTAGCCTGGCCAAGATGGTAAAACCCCGTCTCCAATAAAAACACATAAAAATTAGCCAGGCACGGTGGCGGGTACCTGTAATCCCAACTACTCGGGAAGCTGAGGCAAAGAATTGCTTGAACCTGGGAAGTGGAGGTTGCAATGAGCCAAGATCACGCTACTGCACTCTAGCCTGGGCGACAGGGTAAGACTCCGTCTCAAAAAAAGAAAAAGAAAAAAAGACGACACTGTCTCAGCCAGGTGCAGTGGCTGACTCCTGCAATCACAACATTTTGGGAGGCTGAGGTGGGAGGATTGCATAAGGCCAGGAGTTCAAGACAAGCCTGGGCAACATAGCAAGACCCTGGCTCTACAAAAAAAAAAAAAAAAAATAGGAGTGGTGGCATGCACCTGTTGTCCCAGGAGGTTGAGGCAGGCAGGGGGATAGCTTGAGCCTAGGAGTTTGAATGGGAGAAAATATTTGCAAACTATATATCAAACAGCTAATACCTAGAATATACAAGGAACTAAGACAACTCAACAAGAAAAAAAAAAAACCTCATTAAAAACACTGGGCAAAGAGATTGGGCACAGCGGCTAACATCTATAATCCCAGCACTCCAGGAGGCCAAGGCAGGTGGATCATAGTGAAACACTATCTCTACTAAAAATATTAAAAAAAAAAAAAAATAGCTGAGTGTGGTGGCATGTGCCTGTAATCCCAGCTATTCAGGAAGCTGAGTCATGAGAATCGCTTGATCCAGGGAGGAAAAGGTTGCAGTGAGCTGAGTTCGAGACACTGCACTCCAGCCTGGGGACAGAACAAGACTCCATCTCAAAAAAAAGAAAACTGATCAAAGGACATGAATAGAGATTTCTCAAAAGACATACAAGCAGCCAATAAACATATGAAAAAATGCTCAACATCATTAATCATCAGAGAAATGCAAATTAAAATAACAATGAGACAGTATCTTATACCAGTCAGATAGCTATTACTGAAATGTCAAAAAACATGTTGGCAAGGATGCAGAGGAAAGGGAACATGTTTCTCATGAGAACATGAGAAAAAGGAACAAACTTGATTGGTGGGAATGTAAATTAGTACAATCATTATGGAAAATGGTATGGCAATTTCTCAAAGAACCAAAATAGGAACTAACATTCAATCTGGTAATCCCACTACTGGGCATATACTCAAAGGGAAAGAAATCATTGATTCAAAAAGATACTTGCACTTTTTTTTTTTTTTTTTTTTTTTTT